TCATTATTAGACAATTCAGGTAAATGAAACTCACTAGTTCCTAAAACTTTTTTGACTTCAGCTAAATTATAAAACATGCCACGAGATTAAATATGTCTTGAAAGTTACCCAAATTGGAACCAAAAGGGTAATTAAATTTGCCCAAGTATGCAATTATTAAATATAAAGGGCGAATTATATTTGTCTTAAAAAGTTACTCGAATTGAATCAAAGTGGTAATTGAATGTGCCCAAGTACACAATTATTAAATGAGATGGCGAAGTATATTGGTTTTAAAAAGTTACCTGAATTGAACTGAAGTAGTAATTGAATGTGCCCAAATATGCAATTATTAAATTTACCTGAATTGGGACCAGATTAATTAAATGTGCTCAAGTATTAATTAAATTTAATCTTAGTTTAATGTGCCAAATTAATTATAACTATCCTATTAACGTGTCATTATAATTGAAAAATATGTTGAATTTATCAATATAAACAATAATTAATTTTGATTTTTTAATACAAAAAATCGATCTTTAATATGTTGATTCTTTTTCTGTCAGAATTCTAGAGAAAGAAAATTTACATGAACGACAATATCTCATGATTTGTCAATTGGAATCATGTGATTTTGGTACTGTTAGATTCGTCTCACTAAGACGAATCTAACGGTACCAAAATCATGTGATTCCAATTGACAGATTATGGATATCGTGAATGCGCCAAATTAGGCATACTTACCTTATATATTATTGAAAGAAATGTTTCTTTATTAGATAAGAAAGATGATAAATATAATCTTGATTATAATGCTAAATGGGCTGAACAAAAACTTCAGCTAGTAAAAAATACAATTTTCATTCTTCTTGAAGTTTTTGAGAAATGGTATAATACTAATAGAAATGAGCTATTAGATATGTTGCAGCAAAAATTAAAGTCAAGAAGAAATTTTAATTCAATTTGAAAAGACCCAATTCGGTCTACTAGGACTCCGAAGATCTTTGATATAACTCAGAGGTTACTAAAAAATGAAATTTTGCGTAGAAATTCATCAAACATTGCATTTTTATATAATAAAAATTTTAAATTTTGGCCTATTTTATACACCTATTTGGCTAATATTATATAAACTTAGATCTAAGATGTATCAGAGATCTTTGGGGTCCTGGTCTACTTATTTTGATGAAAGAATTCACAAAAACACTTGTAAAACTGAGATAAAGATTTTATTTATTTTTAATTTAATTATCTATTTGGTTTATTTGTAATTTTATTTTATTCTAAATATTTTAAAGAAAATGTCTCACTGTGCAGAAGCATTTAGATATCTTCATTTAAAAAGAAATCTCTGTGTTATGTTTTATAATTTAGCTGAAGTCAAAAAAGTTTTAGGAACTAGTGAGTTTCATTTACCTGAATTGTCTAATAATGA